TTCACCCCACTGAACTACTGAAGGTGATTACGGAACTGGTCATAATAATAATTATTATCAATATATTATAAAGACCAGAAGCTAAAATTAATGAATTCGATATCGCTCAATCCCAATGGATAATATTGGCACAAAATACAATGATTATCAATCGTGGATTCAACTATGTCGAATTTATTACTATACCTATATTGCTACTGGCCTTTACAAATAAAAACCACAGTTCCGACGCGACGGTCGTGCTGATTATGTAGTACCTATGTATGAATAACACCCTAAACTCCACCCAACTTTGAGCAGCTATAACTCGCCACTAGATTAACAAAACTTAAAAATTTTAATGGGAAAAATTATAAAAAAATAGATATATTAATTTATTAAATTACTTATACGGGTTTCAAAATCGAAAGTTGATAATTTTTTTACTATTAAATATAAGATTGAAAAAAAATAAAATTTTATACGATTGTAGAAATGCRTGCATTTAAAAGTCAATGTTTTTTTGAAATAATGCAGTACCTAGTATAGGATGTAGAATGTAGATATTTGTTTGAAATAACTAAAATGTTCTTGATTAGATTGCAAATACCGGACATAATCAGCATCAGGGATATTAATATATTAAAACACAGAATCAATAAAAAACGTGATATTAGATACATATTTAAAATTAAAAATACCTTGTAGATGTATATTGTATATTGTACTATGCTACCTACTACATACAATTGAAAAGTGCTTATAGTTGTTTCACATTCTATCAGAAATGTTCTAAGACAATACCTTGGGGCATTGCAATAACCAGTAGTACCCTTGACAGAAAACCGAATTTGCACTCCCTTATACAATATTACGCTAAAAATAAACGACAAGTTTTTTTTTGTAAATTTTCATATTTTTATTGAGAATACCACTCGACAAAATAACGCCTTTCGTATAATTGGGCCCCAGGCAAATATGCCCTCTTTCCAGTACCTAACTACGGCCCTGACAAAACCTAACTGTCCGTGTTAGGTATATACATTTATCCTGTGAGTGTGATTGTGTGAGCAATTGATGCTTAGAAAATTAACGATATGATAAAATGGTTAATGAACGTAATGAAATTTTATTATGTATAAGGCAGTTGGTACCTATTAGTGACAATATAGGTATTGTTATAAAAGTTGTCGTTATACATATATGTATTTTTTTTTACGCGTAATAATAAGTTACTGTGATGTATATCCATATATATTTTTTTTTTACTATACGT